ATATATATATATATATATATATATATATATATATGAAAATATGTCTTGGTAAACCTGGAAAAATTTTATGCGCTGGAGAAATTCAAGAAACGTGTAATAGCGGCCTTCCAGCTCGACAGCAGAACCTAATAAAGAATAAACAGGCAATATATAACTTTCAGTTATGAAGTCCTTGATGGGCTTGTATTTTGTGCTGGGCTCTATGTTTTGCAATCAGACACATACTTTGTGCTCAGCCTGTACAGTTAGCGTTACACCCACCTTTCACTATTTGAATATACTAATAAGAGTAACTGATGACCACCAAGTCACAGCTAGTAGCCAATGAGGCACAGACACGTGAAACAGGAGAACCAATGGCTGCTGGACTTGGCATGACACGTGCCATGCTTGGTGGTCTCTACTAGGGGAAACTTTAGTCCACTCTGTTCAAATTCTGTGTCCCTCCCAGTTGCCCCTCCCCCAGGGCAGACAGGATTGGTTAATGCAACAGAATCCTCCTATTAGGGAATGGGAGGGGGGAAGGGGAGGTGACACCAGAGCACAACCCCAAAAGGGTCGTGTGCAACTCCACGGGCGTGGGCGGGGCCAGCATATATATAAGATCTTTCTGCCCTAGTCTCGGAGCCCATTTCCTTTGGAAGCGTCTGTGGTTGCGGCGGCTCTGGAGTTCTAGACTGGAGGCCTCTTCAGCAGGTACCGTGCTGCCTTCCCCTTGGCACTCTAAGGATTTCTGCCATTTCTAGACATCACCCATTCCATTTGTGTCTTTTAGTTTTATGGCCTTCTGTTTTCTTTCACTAAAACTCTTTTTTCGGAATATGAGATAAGGGTTATGAGTAATGGAGAATATCTGTGAAGCATAATGGATTATCTCTTTTCTGGTTGTTTTCTCTTTGTGAGATAGTATTTTTATGTTGCACAGGCTCAGCTCAAATTTCTGTGTTCAGGTAATCTTCCTGTCTCCTGAGCAGCCAATCCCCAGTGTTTGTTTGGGTTTAGAGGTAGGGGAATTTAGGAATAAATGAAGGAGGTATTTGGTAACAGGAGTGACTTTAGATTGTCGCTAGGATGTGGTGGTGGGACATGAATGGCATGGGACCTGGAGACATAACTTAAAAAGGTATAACTTGAAGGAGCTGGCCTGGTCCAGAGCTGGGACTGAGAGATGGCTACGGAAGTCTGGGAACTTGCTGAAACTGGGAAGGGGTGACACTTGGGACAGTTGAGAAGTTACTGGAACCTGGATCTGTCTGTGTCTTGTTCAGAGCTGTAACTGAGATAGATGGTAGGTGGTCTAAAATGGCCCTGGAAGAGGGAAGAGTCGGTGCTTGGGACAGCTGGAAGGTTTCAGGGACCAAGATGGAGCTGGATGGCAGCAGGTTCTGGAAATAGGAGGGACACTTCGTGGTGGGTGGTGTCAGTGGAGTCTGTGTCAGCAGCTCCCCCTAGTGGAGCAGTTGCTCAAATTCTTGCAAGGAACTTTTTTTTTTTTTTTTTTTGAAGGTCTTACAAAGTAGCAACCGACGGCTTAGGTTTCAAAACTGACAGATCAGCCTCAGCATACTTCAAGCGCAGGGATTAAAGTTGTGCTCTACCACACTCAGCAAGGGGCTGTCTTTAGATTCTTGAACAGATTCAGAATTAGCACAGCCTGCATGGGCAGGGACATTCAGGACAGACCATATTAAATATTCCTCTGCCTTGCCTTGAACTAGCACCCCTGCACCACCTGTCTGGATAGAGCCAGAAGACTTCCAGGATCAAGCACCAGTGCCAGGAAAGTCATCATATCCACACTTTAGTGGGGCACTCCACAGAAAACAACAGGGTGAGCATCTATTTTGGAAGTAGCCTCTAACTGTAGCAAAGAGCTGGTGAAGGGGTTTCCTGCCAAGATTCACATACTGCAAGGTAGGGGCCATAGTTAATATTGTCTGTTTACTTTCTGGGGTCTTTTTATTTTTTTGCCTTTCCTCCACTGGGTCTTTTCCAGTGCCCTCAGGCATTGGTCTTTGCCTCCTGACATTGGCATTTTCCCCATAGGTACTTGCAGAATACACAGTAGCGTCCCTGTACTTCCAAGGAGGTTGCTGCAACTGAAGGTCAGCAGGGTTCAGTTAGGTTTGGGGAGGTTTCTGTGATTGCACAAGACTGAATGTTTGAGAGGAAGAAACATGATGGGAATCATTAAGTAACATCGTAACTTCATTTGCATTTCAGGTTATGGAAACCAGGACATCACTGACTTTCTACATGGCATTGGTTTAGAATATTTAAGTCCTAGTTTTAGGTCTGCCCATAGAGGAAGGGAACAATGGCCGTGGCTCTATTAGATGACTGGTGTAAGGGGATGGATCTGGACCCCAAGAAGGCTGTGCTCATTGTGGGCATTCCCGTGCACTGCACTGAGGCTGAGATAAAGGATGCTTTGAAAGAAGGCTTACCTCCCTTGTGTGCACACAAGGTGATAGGCAGGATGTTTAGGAGGGAAGATGAAGCTAAGGCAGTCTTAATTGAACTTACTGAAGTTGTTGATTATACTATGATGCCTACTCATATACCAGCAGAGGGTGGGGCCTGGGAAATAGTTGTCAAACCCCGTAGCCCAGATGATGAGTTTATCAATAAGTTGATCTACTTTCTGAGAGATGAAGGACGGAGAATGGTAGATGTGGCTAAAGCCCTGGGCTTTAGCACTGTCCCTACAGAGAGAATGGAGCTAAGGAATTTAGACCAAGACAAACCAAAAGGCTTGAAGTCTTGGTACAATAATAGCACATGTTACCGAAAACTGAAAGTGTTTTCTGGCAGTCCCTTTCCAGGCCCAGGAGAAGAAAGCTTTGAAACCTGGTTAGAGGAAGTTACTGAGCTGATGCAGTTATGGCAGATGTCTGAGAGTGAGAAGAAGCAGCGCCTTGTAGAGAGCTTACGTGGCTCTGCCCTGTCAGTCATGCAGGCACTGTGGGCTAGCAATGACTCCCTAACTGTGGAGCAGTGCTTGAAAGCCCTAAAGCACATCTATGGGAATAAAGAGGACTATAAGGCCTTACAGTTCAAGTTCCTTCAGTCTTTTCAGAAACCTGCAGAAAAGATATCTGATTACTTGTTACGCTTAGAGCCCTTGCTGCAGAAAGCAGTGCAGCAGAGCCCATTGTCAACACACAATGCAGATTCAATTCGTCTCAAGCATATCTTATCTCGGGTCTCCATGACCACTGGCCTTCGGGGAAAGCTATCCCTCTTAGATCAGCAAGGATGCCCACCTACTTTTCTGGAATTAATGAAGCTCACTCGAGATGAAGAAGAGTGGGAAACCACTGTGGTAGTGAAGGAGCCGAGTCAAGCAGAAAAGGAAAACAGGACATGTGAGGCAGCAGATCAGGTTGTCACCCAGGCGGAGTATTTTAGGGAGATCAGCACCCAGACCATAGGAGAGGAGATCACATCAGTGAAACGGAGGCGAGTGCTATGGAGACACAGTGCTGGGGAAGAGGGACATATGAGGGAATCAGGTTTCAGGGCTGAAAATGAACCCAATGAGCAGAAACCCTATGTTACAGCACAGGAATTGGGAAACGAGAGAGGGGCTTGGGCTATGAGCCATCCCAACCCCAAGGAAATATAGGCTCAGGACATCCAGTAATTCCTTCCTCTTGCAGGCAACAGAGATACTTTGACAAAATTATGGGGCAGCCCAGACAAAGTACAGGGGACATGACTGTTGTAGAAGGGCAACAGGGCCAGGGTAAGGCACCCAACTTCCTTCTAGCTAGAAATGATTCTAATAAGCAAGAACAAGTTCCATGTAGCTCAGTGACTACCAAATGCCAGGTCCATGGGGAGTGTCAAAGACAGAAATGGGGAACTAATATTATAACCAAACTACAGGGCGATCCAGACTCCCGTTGGGATACTAGTGGGTCACAAGATGGTGAGGCTGGGTGCTCTGAGCTAAGGATGCCCACTGGCACCGAAGGAGCACAGGGTGTGGAAGAGCCTGCCACAGGGTTGTCTTGGGCAGAGGACACCAGTGCCTGGGATCAAGTGCAGCTAGGTAGAAAGGCAGTACCCAGGAGAGGAGGCCGCAGGATCCAGCCTGTCTTCAGGATCATCTACACTGCTCTAGGGGAGCCCCATGAGGGCAGCACCCTTGAGTCCTTTCGTGAGTGAACTCCCCTCGCACACCACCACCACCACCACCACCCCCCGCGCCGTGAAACCCCCAGGTCTCTGGACCCAAAGAACCTGGGAGGCCAATGCTAACACAAGGCCGTTTCTTTCTTGGCACCCTGACAGAACCCCAGTGCCAGAGAAGAGCCCCAGGCTGGGGCACATGACACCACAGAGTTAATGCCCTCAGCTGGCCTGAGAGCAAGGGAGTGTGCAGGGCAGATTTTGTGTGAGCAAACAGGAAGTGGAAGAGCAGCAGGAGGAGGACTCTGTGTGTGTTGGGAAGGGGTGAGTGGGGTATAGTTTGTTCTGCTCTCTTTTGTCCAGGGCTGCTGGAGAATTCCAGAGAGTAAGTAGGGAGAGCTGGGTGAATATAACTCTGCCAGGCAGCTGCCAAGGCTGGCTCCAAACCCTGCTGACCTGGGAAGGTGGCCTGACAGCATCGCTGAGGTGCCGTCCTCCATCTGCCACCAATGCCAAACAGGTGGACACCACAGAAAAGGCCATCTCAAGGGTTCTGCCAACTGCCTGGCTCTCCCAACACGGATGCCCCTTCCCCTTTCCATTGCTGTCCAGAGGCAGGCTAGCCCCTGCTCTGGAACCTTGCTTCCTTATCTGTTAACCTCATAGTGACCCAGCTCTCCAGTGAGTCCCTTCCCCCCTCGAGTGCTTACCCACCATCAGCTGCTCCTGTACAAAGCCGTGAGTGAGGTGTGTGTTAACGAGGTCAACTGGAGGCCCTGGCTACCTGGTCAGACGCCTCTACACCCTGCCACGTGCTGTGAGCTTCTGCACCAGCCTAGGCTACCCTAGCTGCTCTCCCACCCACCTGGTGTTGTGAACTCGTCATCAGCTTTCCTGATGTACATCTAGGCCAGCCACCTGCTGCTTGTCCTGCAGAGGTGTGTGTGTGTGTGTGTGTGTGTGTGTGTGTGTGTGTGTGTGTTCTAACCTGATCAGGTGCTCCCCAGAGTTCCCGAGCCCAGTCCTGGAACCATGGATGTTGCTAAGGCTTAAGACTTCAACTTGGGACTGTGTATGGTGTTCCACTTCTGTTACTACTATGATTTTACTTTCTAGGGTTGGTGGGGTGTTACATGCTATGCTCCTACCAATTCCCTGTGCCTGGACTCTGTATGCTATAAGGCAGGACTACACTGTAGTGGATGATCTCTTGAGATAGCAGAAGGCCCCTGTGTGGGCAGGGTGTATGGCTTCTAGTGACCACTCAAAGTTTCTGTTATGTTTTTAATGGTTTTAATACAATTTTTGTTGAATAAATTTCATGAATGTTCCAGCTATGTTCTGCCTATGTTCTGCTGAGAGTGAGTTGGAGGGTAGCAGTGGTGGCTGTGTTGACACTGGCATATATGCATGTCAGAGACCATGAGGGGCTATAGTGGTCTCCTGGGTGGGAAGGAACTAGACTACTGGTAGCCAGTGGGTATGGGGTACAATAGCTATCTGTCTTTCTAGGACATTTGGTACAAACAGGAATAAAGGGGCTATGTGTTGGGGAGGATGCAGTATAGAAGGCAGGCCCCAGGATTCCTGGTACAGCACTGTACTTGTAGAGACCACAGGGCATCTATGTGATAGATTGACAGATATGAAAAGATACCCCTATAGATGTCATGCCTAGCTCAGAGCATGGTGTTTTTCCACCCACCCTGATCAATCTACCTCTTGACTGGTTACAGGCCAGCTTCGGTCTCCACTGAAGGGTGTTTGAGGACTGGTTGGACAGAGTGCTTGGCAAACCTGGGTGTCACAGAAAAAAGGGGAAGGAGGGACTCATTCTAGACACCCTGTCATAGTGTTCTTCCTTTCCTTTGGTGGGGATGTGTTTGACTGTTTATGTGCACTCACGCGTGCATGCACTCACATGTACAGGTGTTAGTGTGCATTTCTGGCTGATTATTGGCCAGTGAATAGGTATGTGAGTCACTGTATAGGAGCTTCGTTTTGAATGTTGGATGTGTGTGCTCATGTATGAAAATCTCTGGATATAATTGTCACTGACGATGAGTGTGATTATATGACATTGTATGTATGTGAGAATGGGTATGTCAGATCATGAGGCTGGACGCAGTGAGGGTCAAGTGTCTTGAATGTGAGCCATGTGTATGTCTATGAATGTAAATGTAAATGTGTGTGTGTGTGTGTGTGTGTGTGTGTGTGTTACTGGGTGAATGTGGCTGTCATATGTGTTACTACAGAGCTTGTAAACCACTGTGTTATAAGTTTGGTAGGTCTGACTTGATCAAATGAAAATGGAAGGAGGTATCAGGAGGCAGAACTTCATTTTCACAGATCAGTGCATCACTCTTTCATGACCCAATATTATCTATAGTGGGTGCTCAGGAAACATGAATGAGTAGGCAATTCTTCCCTTTCCTTTAGGTTTACAGTTCCAAGGTTACTTCCCCTAGGAAATCATCTTTAACTTGGAAATCCAGATTATACACCTCTTATACTCCTTTAGTGGTTATTATCAGAATGGAGTTGTTGACCACTATTTTCTCATTGGGGTAGGAGAGCTCTCTTTCTGATACCATTAAAGAGAGAAAAGGCAATAGCCTGTCTGTGTATATAGTAAATTCATACTAAAGCCACACATCATTTTGGTACCATGAAAGGTAGCCTGGTACCTAGTTGAGCTAAGGCTAGAAGCCCTGGAGACCCCGAAGGGACGGTAGGAGCTTTGCCTGCTCCCAGGCACTAGGCCCCTGTCACTAGCCACAGCCCCCCATAGATTTGTGGCCATCAGTAACATAAGGGTAACATCCTAAGCCCTTCACATGTAGATGAGGAAGAGGACCTGTGTAGGCTCAAGACAGATCTACATTCTAATGAGGTACCTAGAGGCCTGGAGTGCTTAGCCAATAAGCTTTCCTTTCCAGACATTCCTCCTGGCAAAAGGCATTTAACCTCAGGCCCTCCTTGAGAAGTAGGGTATGGTTTTACACATCTGCTTTCCACCATGGCAACAAATGATTTGGAACCACAGATTTTCTCTTTTCTTCGGGATCTGCCTTGGGGCGCCATGGAGAAGTCCTTTGCCTATAGACCCACCATCTGATCTCCCACAGAAGGCTTCTCTGCACTCCCAGCCACAACTGCCACCAATCCCAAGCCTGTTGCCAGCCTTCAAGCCAAGGACTCTCCCTGTGGGACCAGCCAGATTACTCTCCACCCCACCCCTGCCCAGATTCCATTCTCAGTTCTTCTGCAACTTCCAGCGGTATCTGGGTGTCTAAGAGCCTGGGAACTCCACAGCCCCGGCCTCTTTGTAGGCCTGGGGACCCCTGAGTCAGCTCCAGCTGTCCTTGCCTCAGACTGCGCTTTCCCACACCACAGCAGTGTCCTGGGGCTTCCCAACAGCCCAACACTTAACCAGAGACAGCCTGCGGTAAGCACATGGTAACTTACCATGTCCCAGCTCCCCAAGCACTCATGCTCTGTGGTGGAGCAAACTTGGGCCCCACACATCATCTTGTTTTATTTTATAGAGGCTCACTCTAAGTAAGCAAAACACAATAGGAAGACAACAATTCACTCCTTCTTCAGTGTTCCAAGATTATAGCAGGGATTAGGCCTGTCAACTCAGAGTGACCTGTCTCCTGAGTGCTAGGGTTACAGGCATGAGCTACCATGTCTAGTTTTGTTTTATAGCAAGAATGGCATCTGGTAAACCACATGTCCAAAACTACCAAGTTATTGTACTTAAGTGTACACATACACACAAAATTTTTTAAAAAGAAAATTATAGTACTGGTGTATAATATCTTAACATTTATTATAATTTGTGTACATTAATGAAGATTAAGCAAGTATAATTAAGAACATTAAGCAATTAAAAAGAAGTAAATCAATGCAAAACCATCCCTCTTTGTTAACTGCAGAATTTTGTGTCTAAGACTCAAAAGGGCTGTTTTAGATTCAAATCAATACTAACCTTACAAGCTGTCTTTGAGTATATTCCACATTTCTAAAACTCCTTAAATGGCAGAGTACACCTTTAAGGTAGGGAAACCATCAGATCTAGAGCCTCTTACTCCATTTATGAGGCCTGCACTGAAATGCCCAGGTAACTAAGGGAGTGACTTACTTAGTTTTCTCTTACTAATTCATTTGGCACACATATGTTATTGCCCACTGTATGCTAAGTCTTATCCTAGAGCTGAACTTGAGAAAGATTAGTTCATAATTAGTATTGGGGTGTGGCACAATGCATGCCTCCACTTCAGAGTATAAGTAACAGATAAGCAGTCAAATAAATAGAATGTTCTTCTCTGATTACCTATAGGAAGAACAAGTCCACACTCAAATGTGTTTAGGGTTCAAAGTCTGGAGAAAAAGAAGAGCTATCTTACAAGTAAATCCAACAAAGAGGCCTCTATTTTGCATCCCCAAGTCTTGAGGGCTATTTTTCCTTTCAACATGTTTCCAGTTTAATGCTGAGCCCAAAGGCAGCAGGGTGAGGTTAACTCAGAACAGCATATTAGCAAACTGCAGGGATGAACCTGCTTTTGCAGTGCCAGACATCAACTGCTAGTGTTTTGAGTACCTGGGGACCTAGAAGTTGATGTTAGTTTGAGACAGAGTCAGGACTAGAAAATAGGTCACAAAAGGCTGTGTGATCAGGGCAGAAAACCTACTGCACATTTCACTGGATAGCAAGCTTTTCTTTGAAAAGTTGCATAAGCCAAATTTCACAGGCACTGTTTGAAGGGCCCCTATTCCTACTGTGAAATATTTCCCTGAAGCATAGTGTTAGAAATGGTTTTGAAAAGTGTGAAATTCACCCCATCTCTGGGCTTCTTGGGTCCCTCCTTGAAACACTACAGTAATTTAATTGCTCCCTTTCCCTCTCCAAATAGAGGCTTTCACTTAGGAACAAATTTGGTCAATGCCACTATGGTTATTGCTTCTGGAGAAAGTATATGCTCCAGAGAGAGACAACAGTGGTTTTATAGGGCTTTTCCCACTTCTCTGAGCATTAGTCTCTTTGTTTCTAAAGTGAACATGAGAATATCTTAGAGAGTATTAATGAGATTAAAGCCAATGCTTCATGGTAATGTGTGGTGACATTTCAAGAAACCTCGCTTGTTTTCTTCTTTAGCCTTTTGAGATCTACACCTTAAAGGCAGTTCAGAGAATAAAAGTCCAGAATAAAATACTGAGGGTAAAGATTTTTAACCAACTATCAAAATTCAAACAGAATTTTGACACAGATATCTCTTTGATTAGAAGCCTCCTAATATTGTATCTTATCAAATTTAAACCTGGGTAAACTTTCCAACATGTACAAACATACCTGACTGGAAAAACTCAAAGGAGAATGGGAGGAGGTAATTTAAATCTGCTACATAATTCAATCAAAAACAATGAACTATTTTAAAAATTGTGAGAAATTTAAAAATACACACACACACACACATACACACACACACAAAGTGAATAGACAAGCTAAACATTAGCCTATTGCCAACCCTTAGTATTCAATGCCTGTAATTTTCCTACCAGGGATCGTCAACAGTTTTTTGGCTTGGCCCCTTGGCCCCTCAAAAGACTCAGAAAGTCTGCATATGCTGATACCTAGACTTGTACTCATTTCTAACATACTAGGTCATCTGCACTCATTAGAAAGCCAACATGTCTTAAGGAAGTCAAAGTGGACTCATTTATCCTGGAAGCAAGGGTTTCAAGCCTGAACTGAGATACTCCTAAGGTATAAAAGGCTACACAAAAGTAATTATAACATCATTGCGATACAATCTTAGATGTATGCTACTTCAGTACAAGGTGAACAGAAGTACAGTGGAACCATGGAGGATGTAAGGGAGGAAGAGCCAACAATTTGGGTCAACTGGACAGCCAAATACAGCTGGGGATCATCAGCTTCTGTTCAGCCTGGAGGAGCCAAAAAAAGAAATAGAGGTACCAATGAGACTTGAAGTAAGGATCTGATCAATCCATTACAGCCAGGGTCCCTTGAGATGGGTAAGTGTTGCAGTGATTGTGAGCCCAAGCCCAACACAAAAGCATTTCCCGGAGAGGAGGAAACCTTAGGGAAAATATGCTGTGTTGAGACACTTGGGATAATCCCACTGGCTAGTGGCCCAGAGAGTGCTCTAAGTCAACATCTTAGTTATTAAGCCTAAATCTAAAGCTATGCAAATAATGCTGGAAGATGGCAGAGATCCTGATACTAGAATTTGAGAGCTAAAATGAGGTCGAGATTTTATCATATACCAACTACATGTTTGTTCAGAACCATTCCCTTTCTACATCTTTATTTCCTTGTCACAGAATAGCCCCAGGCGTCCCAGGGTTAACAGATTTAGCTGAGGTTCTAGATGGGAGAGGTAATTCTGTAAAGGAAGATACTATGACTCTAGCAATTTGGAAAGGGTCCTGGGATGGGGGTGAGGGTGGGGAGGGGTTCATACATTACTTAAGATCTCAAAGAAGCATAGGACAAAGGACAAGGACTTGAGATTCTCTAATTAGATGACTGAAAAGCATAGCAGGGTCCTGAAGTAAAACCCAGGTCCAAACTAGGGTTTAATGGGGCTCTTGGATGCATATCCTATGAGCTTCCAGCACTCACCTAGAAGAGCTTCTCATAGCATTTCCCACAGTGGATGGTGTCACGGTGAATGAAGATCTGATCTAGGAGATCACCCATCGGTTTATTGCAAATACCACACTAAAAAAGCAAAATGGAGGTCAGCACTCAAAGCAGATGCTGTGAGCTGATGGCACATCCTGGACTTCCAAGGAGATAAGACATTGCAAACATAGATATTAAACGTGATTTATAAAACAAGATAAACACAGAATAAAACACCAAAAGTAAGCTGGTAGGGACTGGGAAGATGGCTCAGTCAGTGAAGCACTTGTTGCAGATTTGATCTCCAGAGCTCATATAAAAACTGAGTGCAGAAGCACAAACCTGTAATCCCAAGGCTGGGATGGCAGGCATGGGATTTCTAGGGCTCTGAATAATCTTCCTATTCTTAAATAACAGAGAGCAACTAAGGAAGACATCCAGTGTTGCTATCTGGCGCGCACACGCACACATACACACACACACACACACACACACACTGGCAGGATGATTAGCATCTTGGCTAGGAGCTGCAGTTTCACTATCAGCCCAGGTTAAAATCTTGACTTTTATTTATTAGCTAAATTAGATGGGCAAGTTACTGAAACTTTCCCAGCCTCCATTTCCTTACCTATAAGATTAGGAGAGGCTGAAGGACATGAATGTTTAAGGTCCAGAAGAAGGTGATACTGTTCAACAGAAGAGGATGTTTTAGTAGCCCAGTCCCTCCCATAAACCTGTGTCCCTAGGAATGTCAGTGGCAGGACTTCCTAACCCTGGGAGTCGAGTAAAAAGAGACCAAGAAGTGTCAGGTTTTCCAGACCGCTCAATGTCTCTAGTCTGAGGCTTCCAGCTTCAGGCCGCCAAAGGTGCAGGGGAAGGTGTCTAAACAGCCTTTAGACAACCCCAAGTCCCATTGCTCATTCTCGCCATGCACCCTTCTGATGGCAATCTGAGTACTTCTACTTCTCAACTTACTTCTGACAGAGTATTTTTCAATGTAAATCAATTATGCCTCTATTTCCTATATAATGTTTATATCCTTTTAGTTACTGTACACCAGGCTAGAACATGGACTTAGAATAGTGCTGATACATTGAGGGGTCACTTCTGGGCATGCAGAAAATGGACAATGTATATGAATGACCATAACCAATGTATTCACTTTTCTTGGGGCAGCAAAAAGCAACTGGGTAGTGCCGAGGATAAAACTTAGTGCCAATTCTGTTTAAACTGTGGGCAAGCAGGACACTGTGGACTTGATTGCACTGCTTTGCCTAGACAAGGCAGGCTGGTTCCCCCACCCCAAGTTCCTACTCCGCAGCAAAGTTTGTCAGATCTTCTGGGCCTGGATGTCAAAGACTGACACTGTCCTGGAACCTCTGCACTCAGTAACCATGGAGGAACCTAGGTTGATGACTGTCCAGGTAGCCAGTAAGTCTGCCATTTTTAATAGATTCAGAAGCTGCTTGGTCTGTAGTTCCTGCTTACTCAAGGAAAATGTATCCTTTTCAGATGTCTGATGGGGTTGATGATTAGGCTACTGACACCTTTGTCTGTGTAACAGCAGCAGCCAAGGCCTCAGCTGCCTTCTCAGTTCTCTTCATGAGCAACAATCAGGCCTCAGGCCTCATTTTCTTGGAGCTTCAACTAGGTCTAGACACAGTTTACCTTATTACAAGATTCAGAAAAGAGATAAACTCACAAAACAGACTTCAAAATAATTACTATTCCTTTATTTAAAGAAACTTGCTTTACAAAAACTCCTCTCAGTAATCAACCACCTGTGTCTTATGGTGAATGATTGGATAGAAAAAAAGATGTAAAGTTTATATAAGGTCTCAGGATACAAAAGCTTAGGTTGTGAGGATCTAAGAACATAGTTTATGGTCTAAGAAGTTGTCTTAAAAGTGTTCATATGCAAGCTATAAAGGTCTGAGGATGTGAAAGCTTAAGTTATCATAAGAGAGTGACTTAAGGTATAAAAAAAATGAAAACTGTTTCAGATTTCTTTCCCTCTGTGCTATTGTTATATTAAGACTTCCAAAGCTCAGAGGGGTTTTTTTTTTAAAAAAAAATACATTAATCAATGAAGTTCTGATAAGCTATTAATCTAGTTCTGGTAAAGCACTTTAAAATAATATCATAGTCACAAGCTCAATATTTTAAATTTCCTTTAGTTGTCTTCTAAGTATGGACTTAAAAGTCTATACATTTTTATTGTGCTAAAAGTGTCTATCTAATCTTTATACACCTGGTCTTCTGGAAAGAGGAAAAAGGCCCTGATTTCATGGTCTGGATTTCTACTGAAAATCAAGATCAAGTAAGCTTCTGCCCTTCTACTCCACGGGAGGTTTCTGTCCTCCCTGAACTTGCCTTAAAAAGTGTTCATGGTTTTCACCTAACATGATATCCCAGGCTTCTACTATGACACAAAAGTGTGAATCTACTGCTTTTTCTCCAGTGTGGATTTCAGTACAGATTAAGAGCAATGGTAATGCCAATATATATAAGACTTATCTCTTTTGTAACCTTAAAAACAATCTCTTGTAAGCTTTGGAGAATTAGCTTAAATCTACCTCTCTTGGGTCAAATGGACTCCAGATAAATACTATCAATCAATGGCCTATTTCTGCCGTTTCACTTATTCCTGAGGGTGAGATTGCACCCCATTTCCCTGGTCTTTGGACTTCTCTCCTTCAACTACCAGGACCTCCAATCTTTCCCTCAAAGTATGCATCCAAGAGAGTTTCAAAGCACCTAGCCCCAGGTGGTCCAGCTTCATAGACTACTTCAACTAAGTCTGCACTTTTCTAGTCCCAGACAGTCCTGCAGAGAGCCTGGACATTGAGGGAAACAGCCTGCTTTTTCTGGACTTGGCCAGCATACCAACTTTATTGGGTCCTCAAAGATGTCAATGCCTTCAGACAGCAGGAAGCAGTCTAAAGAGCACAGCACCCCCATTCCTGCCTCACCATTATCCCTTCCTGTTTCCTGACCTTTTACAACAAAACGGAGGAATGTTAGAAATCAGGCACTACCCTAGCCTACCTGTTAGGGCCTCAGCGCCTGCAGATACCAGCCAGGTGCAGGTGCATTTCCAGTGGTGCTACAAGTTGCATATTTTCCCTATACAACACACACTGTGGTGATTTGAATATGCTTGGCTCAGGGAGTGAGTGGCACTATTAGGAGGTGTGGCCTTGGAATAGGTGTGGCCTTGTTGGAGGAATTAAATCACGGTGGAGGTGGGCTTTGAGGCTCCTTTGGTCACGCTCTGTCCAATAAGGAGGGTACTCTTCTCCTGGCTGCCTTTGGATCAAGCTGTAGAACTCTTGGCTCTCTGTCATGATGGACTGAATCTCTGAACCTGTAAGCCAGCCCCCATTAAATGCATTTTAGTGTCACCTATGTCCTAACTTGTACCTTTTCAGTCTTTCCCATGATAACAAATAATATCACATTCCTTTACTAGGAGGCTTAGGCACAAAACTCTGGGATATCGTTTGAATCCTCACAATATACCAGCTTTGAGCTATCCAGTTATCATCTTACCATCTTCTTTTCTTTTTTTTTTTTTTTGTTTTTTGTTTTTCGAGACAGGGTTTCTCTGTGTAGCCCAGGCTGTCCTGGAACTCACTCTGTAGACCAGGCTGGCCTCAAACTCAGAGATCTGCCTGTCTCTGCCTACCAAGTGCTGGGATTAAAGGTGTGTGCCACCCCTGCCCGGCCCATCTTACCATCTTCATTGTCAAACTCCTTGGCAAGTGACTAGTCTCTCTAGATTGATTTGTGAATGAGAACTCCTAGAGAGAATCTGATTGGCTGCTTAGAACATTAATGATGTGGAGAGGCTGGAATAGTGAAATCCAAAAGCCTAATTACAATTATCTTGGGTTACCTTTGACCTACTTACTAAAGAGCAATTCCTTGCTTCTCATCCTCTCACTAAAAGACCTCACATTTTAACAAATAAAATCCCTTCTGGAATCTAGCAAGTTAACCAACCAGTCAAATGCTAAGTGTGTACTTAACTTTTCCACCAATGTTGTTAAAGTATCTTGATTTATAGAATTCTTTATTGTGAGAAAAATAAATGAGTACTTCAACTCCAGCAGGTTTTATGTTTGATTAATGTAGCAATTCAGCTTACAAAAGTAAAACCAAAACCAAAACAAAACCCTAACTATAGGTAAGATTTCCCCTCAACTGGCGAAATTTATCATCTTAAAGTGGTTTATTTTAAGCACTTAATTGAAAGCCATAGAATATGAATATATATATATATATACATATATATATATTAAAATGTAAAATGATCTGTAACAAAATAATAAAATTGTTCATTCATAACAGTAATTTATAAAACTTATATGTAAGGTCAATGGTGACACCAAAATGAATTTAAATTAATAAAAAAATAGGTTATATCAAGGTTATACATCCTTTCTGAGATAACTGTCTATGTTCATCTCTTCCTCTCACTTTGCCACATCATTTTTATCTCCTAACAATGAGATTCTATATGAAAGGGGAGGACATTGGCCTGTATTAAGATATTAAAATTCCCATGTCACTTTCACTTGGAATGCTAGATCCACACTACCTATCATATTTTTCTTTTAATATTCATGATTAAGATTGTACTAAAATATCTTTATTATACAAGCCAGTTCTAAAATTCCTTTCAAATTCTATACTAATGCCACAAATCTCAGTTTGGTTTGAATTGAATTCCATAAAGCTTAGGGGACCGACCATCTTAGACTGCTAAGTGTTAGGTATCAAAGAAATCCAGGATAAATTGCTGAGATACCTATAACATATCAAAGCAGACATGGCAGCCAGGCTCTCCCAGTACCCGTTATAGAGTTCTAATTCTTCTTAGAAATTTTTAGCTCTATCTCCTATGTAAAACCTCTCCAGGACATGAGCTTTGTGGTCCTTTATCCAATTTTTCTTTTCCTATAAATATAAAGCCCAGCCATTGTGGGTACATGGTGTCTTGGTTCTCTTGGCTCCTGATTCCTCCCTTGGTCTCTTGGTCTACAGCTCCTCTCTTAGCTCCCCTACCCTGCCCATCTCTTCCTCTCTTGAATCCCACCTGTCCTTCCCCTCTCATGGTTTAGTTCAGTCTGGACCTTTCCGGATGCCTTTGGCTGTTCTCTCCCTCATATCTGCAACAAACCCTTCTCCACAACTATATCTAGGAGCAATCATGTCTTCATTTTCATTCATCTGGTGCCAAAACCATGGGAATGACATATATCAATTCATTTCCAAGGGACATGGCGTCTCTGAACTAATCTGCTGTTTTGACTTTCCTAAGGTATGTATAGATCAATTATTTCTGCTGGCTTCTGCCCACCTACCATATTATACTCCAAATTCCAGACTCTACTTCTTTAGACACACCTTCCTTCCACCAGCTCTAACTATTTGTCTCTCCTTGTCTACTCAGTGTCTCTCTGTCTCCTGCAGTTTGCTACACCTCCTGTGCATTCATCATGCATCTCTTGGTCTCTCTCTGGCTCCTGGAGTCTTCTATATCCTCCTGTAATACCTATCACCTGGGCACCTCTCTATATCTGTGACCTCTTATGCCCATGTGGGCATCTCTTTACTAAAGACATCACTTCTCTTTTCTCAAAAGACTCTCTCAGTCCATCTCTTTAGCAGTTTTGTCCTCTACCTTCTCTGTCTTTCTTCTTCTACTGGATAAATGTAGCCCCTCATCTCAGGGATGAGCCAGAGCCCTGAGATGGAGAAGGCTCCTGGGAGTCTTTGGAAGTGACCCCTAGCAGAGACTCCTAACAGCTGGGGATATGGAAAATTGAAGTAGCTACTGGCTAAGAAAATGCTGCTGATGGAGAATTGTCACCAACACATCTACCTGGATAAGGATCATGCATGCTATGCTATGAATACCCTAGGTATGTGGACTGGTGCAACCAAGAACATTTCAATTGGATTTAAGGCCAGCTTCATGGAAGGGAATTCATATCCCATTACTGTAAGTCCTATCAAAGGCATTGGCTGGGGGATGCTTAGGCCCTATTATGGAAAACACTGTTATTGTTTTATTAAATAGACATTTGTTCATGGCTACAGACTATGCTGCTGATAATTTTCATCAAGGAAACTTATTTTTCCAGTGAGAGGTGGTTACTGTAGACTTCTAATGCTTCACAGTGCTGACTGATATGACTGTTGCTGAGGCATGGTAGCACAGTACTTACGTCTAAAGGGAGAAAATAATCATGCATTTGTATCACTAGCTTCCAAGACCCAGGAAACATCAGAGAAGATGGAGTACAAAAATGCAGGATTCAGAGGAATAGGTAAATTGCTGTGGAACTCTGTTGTCCTGGCAAAATATGTCTATTTCATCTTAAAAAGCATAGCATTTGTGATTACCTGTGAGATCTTTATAAAATTGGGCCCAGGGGCTGGAGAAATGGCTCAGTGGTTAAGAGCACAGTCTGCTCTTCCAGAGGTCCTGAGTTCAATTCCCAGCAACCACATGGTGGCTCACAACCATCTATAATGAGATCTGGTGCCCTCTTCTGGTGTGTCTGAAGACAGCGACAATGTACTCACATACATAAAATAAATAAATCTTTAAAAAGAAAATTGGGCCCAGTAACAATCGGTTGTAGTACTCACAGGGCAGCTTGTAGGGTCACTGGCACTTCGGAAGTGGTGCATGAGACATAGCATATTACTAGATGCAGGAGACCTCACCCCACTCAACCCCAAGAATATATAAGCAGCTAGTGGTTGCTACGGAGAGGGTACTTTCCTTTGGTGCTCACAAGTTACATATCCTGTAATTTACCCCAATTAAACTCATTGTTTGACCCAACTTGACTTGAATGAAATAATTTCTTATATGTTTCTGGTGCTGTATATGGGGGTATGAGGACATTTGTTCACATGTCCCCTAGGAAAATTTAATCCAATATCCTCTCATTCTTGCCATCCTATGCATGCCCGTTAGAATGAGTTGTATTTCTGTGTTGAGGCCTTTATACTACTGGCCCTCTATGAGGAATAGTCCTTTCCCAGAACACCCTTTTTTTTTGCCTCCATTCTGTTATTAGCCATGTGGAACTGTCAACACTCCTCTCTTCAGCTCAGAGCCCTACTGAGCCTCTGAGATTGTTTACAGCTGTGAACAGAAATCCAGTCTCCTCTACACTTCTCTGATGTCATCATCAGATCTGTGCTCTTCAGAATAGTCACACCTCTTTCTTACCTTAAAACAATACTCATGGCAGCAGATGCCAAGATGTTCAAGGGTAATCTTCGGACAATCTTGGATCTCATGGCTACAGTAAGTACAGACCCCTTCAGTTGGTCTAGGAGATGGAAACAAGGACCAAGCAGTCAGGCTGGTTTCCACACTTCTGATATGATGCAGCAGATCTTCTAGGTTTGCCAGTATTCCCAGCTTCCCAATGTGTTCTGTGTTGTATAACTGGGAACATAACCTATGCCAATAATTTGTCACTATTCTCCTAAACCAGTCTTGATAGTCTCTTTTGCATGCCTGGGACCGTGGAGGATTGTATAGCCTGCTCAGAACTCATGTTAAAGTACTAGAAGATACTTACTTCTTGGTACACTCTGTTCCAAGATTCCTTTTTATTTCTGAGAATCATCTCTGCTTTTCCCTCCTTTTCTTTTCTTCCCCCAACAGGAACTGCTGAAACAAGCTCTAGTCTCTGATCCTACAGGCTTAAATTAGGAGTTCTATTTTCCAGAGATGAAGGCCTGATTCCGACGGAAGCCAGGGTGTCACTAGTAACCAGGACCTAGCACTGCTATGGGCACTAATGTTTTAGCCCTATGTGGTGGTTTGAATGAAAATATCCTCCACAAGCCCATAGGGACACAATTAGGAGGCCTTGTTAGAGGAACTATGTCACTGGAGGCGAGCTTTGAGGTCTCAGATGCTTAAGCCACACCTATTGTTGTCTCATTCTCTTCCTGCTGCCTGCATATCCATATATAGAACTCTCAGATACCTCTCCAGTACCATGGCTCCCTGTATGCTTTTATGATTCCTGCCATAATGATAATGGACTAAACTTCTGAATCATAAGCTAACCACAATTAGATGTTTCCGTTTATAAGAGTTGCCATGTTCATAGTGTCTCTTCACAGCAATGGAAACTGTAAGGCACCTTGCCATTCTGCTGGTGGCCTATAGCTGACTCTCTGGACATAAGAATGCCCAAGAATCATCTTCTCAGTACATCCCTGTTTCTCTTCTGTTCTTTGTGTACACTTGTGCACAAGTGACTGGGGTTGTCCTTGGAGATAATCACAGTCCTGTAACCAAGTCCAGTGATTAATCAGTAATATTAGATTCTAGAGTTAACATTGGAACAATAGAAAGACAGAGTACTATGGTATTTGATCTATCATGCTACTAGAAAATGATATATTTCATTTGTTCCTATACAACTGAAAAATTCTCAGGCATCTCAGCAGTCTACCTTCCATGGTTTATACAAAGCTTGAGTGTATGCTCCAGAGATTCATGTGTTAGAAGTTTTGTCCTTACTGTAGCAATATGACATGTAATAAGACTTAAGAGTTAGGGCCTAGAAAGAGGTAAACAAACCATTGTGGGTGCTTCCTTCTTTGTATGCTTGTTTTTGAGGCAAAGTCTCACTGTGTAGCCCTAGGTGGCCTAAAACTTGCTATGTAGTCCAAGCTGGCCTCAAATTTACAGAGATCCACCTGCCTTTGCCTCCTAAGTCCTAGGAATAAAGCTATGTGCCACCATATCTAGCCTTGGGCATTTTGGTAAAGTAGCATATACAGACTATGAAATTATCTGATGACATGATTTATCAAGTGATCTGTGACTGTCCAGAATTCAGTAATCTGGCATAATGGAAGGAACATCTGTCACCCTGTCTATATATAAATTCCTGTACTTGTTTGTGTTGGGGTAAAAGGAGAACACTGTTAAGATTTGCTTCATCTTAACTTTCTCCCCAGTCTAGCTGTGGCTTCTGAGTGTAAACCACAGTAAGTTAGATCTCATAATAAGTGAGAAGACATATGGCAGAGGAGAAATATCCATAACCTGTTAGTAGTCAGGCTCCAGGATTCATTTCTGGCTCTGCCAGTAACTAACTTCATGTGACTTATTCCTCCCCCTTTTTTCCTCACTGTAACCTGGGTAGATTCACTCTCTGATGCAGATTTTCTTTCCTATTACAAAAGTTTAAAAATAGCCCTTATTTTTTGTCCTTAAGGCCATCCTATTACTGCTGACATCTGGTGATCAGTTCCATGACTCCAGGCCACTGTGTATTCTTAGTTCTGTCTTCTTGATGATAAAACAAACAAACAAAAAACATTTTTCTCTACACACCAAGCTCTTGTGTAGTTGTTTCTTTCTTTTTGCATCTATTCATATATGCAAGTTAGTCAAATGTATCATTAGATTTTATTCTGAAGAGTCTATCTTCCTGACAAGAGCCTCCTCAGGTTCTCTTTCAGACCTTTTGCATCTATTCTTCATCTTGGTTTACAGGCTTCAGTTGCCATAAGTGTGACATCCTGATTGGTGTGGTACCACCTTATGCAGTGTCCCACTGTATGACAGAGCTACAAACAGATCAAAAGCTTCAAAGCAGCAGAGAAAGACCCATATGGAGATCTGCCTTAGTGCTCTCTCACCTATATAACTGGAAGACCTCTGTCAAGAAAGCAGACATACCTCTCAGAAGATGGAGTGCCTCCATGTGGGTGTTTCTTTGCCAGATCCAATGAGTCCTCAATGCTGAAGTGTAATGGAGAAGGGAGCACAATATTAACCATATCACTATCATAGTCATACATAGAAAACGATGTTCTCATTAGTCTTGTGGCCACAATTAGAGACATGACTACACTGACAGTCATCACCACTCTGATGAGAAATGGCCTTTGGTACAATAGGGACTTATACTAAGGAGACACATTTTTCGTGGTGAGTTCTTTCATGGTGAATGAAGAAGACATGATGTGGTAAGAATCTTAAGACTTATGTACCAGTGGGACCCTAAGTTCCTTTGACCATTAGAAAAAACAGTTACTACATATGGATATGTATGAGTTACTATGGGAACTTTCAGGAGCCATACACTGAAGAAATAAGAAACTAGATATACTGCCTACTTTTATGTTAACTTGACACAAGCCAAGAGTCATTTGAGGGATGAGAACACTTGAGGAAATGCCTCCATAAGATCAGCCTATAGAAAAGGGTGTAGGGCAGTTTCTTAATTAGTAATTGACATGGGAAAGACCAGACTATTTGGAGTGGGGCCACTCCAGGGCTGGTTGTCTTAAATTGTTTAAGAAAGTAGGCTGAACAAGCCATAAAGAGCAAGACAGAAAGCAGCACCCCTCCACAGCCTCTGCATTAGCTCCTGCCTCCAGTTTCCTGACCTGTTTGAGTGCCTGTCCTGGCTTCCTTAGATGATGGACTATGATGTGGAAGTGTAAGCACTTTCCTCCCCAAGAGTTTTGTAGTCATGGTGTTTCATCTCTGCAGTAGCAACTCCAAGATAGAAATTGGTACCAGGAGTAGGGTATAGCTGTGACAGACCTGACCATGTTGTTTGGGGAGGGTTGTGGGACATGAGAAATTTGGCTAGAAAAAAATCCATTGAGCTGCCTAAGCTTGGTGAGTTTCTGTGGTAGCTTGGAAGATAAGAACATAGAGGATGGAGGCCTGGCTTATGAGGTACCAGAGAGCAGTAATAGGGTCACTTAAAGATTCTATGGGGGCCTTGAATATTTTCATTAAGAATCTGTGGTACTGGTTAGCTGGGGCAGACTAATTGACTGTGATTAACAGGAAGCAATCAGTACTAAAATGAAAACTTTCCTATACTGGGCTAATCAATGCTGGTTGGCTGAAACTGATAAATTAGTGAGGGTCAAGAAGACACCAGCATCACTGAGGTGAAACCTCTGGGAAGTATGTCCTCAGCATTAGCATTCAGAAACTCTGCTCCAGAGGTGGCCAAGGCTCCACCTTGTCCTGGCAGCTGAACTTGGTACCTTGGTGGTACTGGACTTGATGGCATGGAGTGGTAAGTCTGGAGGGCAGTGGGGGCTTAGCACCATGTGGCTGGACTGGAGACCCTGAAGAGAGACTGGGAGAGGCTATTATTGGTGAAAGTGCAGTCCAGTTGCAGCAAGAGACCCCATTTGGCTTAACAGCAATACGTTTGTGTGTCAAGCTGACAAGGGTCAATTGTGCTGGCTAGTTTTATTTCAACTTGACACAAGCTAGAGTGTGGGTGGGTGGAACAGCACTGAAAAGACCTGGAAGTAACTTCCTGCATGGCACAGGAAAGCAAACAGACAAGGGGTTCAGTGGGGCCACCTAGCATGAAAGAACATGGGGGTTAGATTTTCTATCCACCTAACTAGAAAGAAAACCTGAAAATTCATAAGTCAGGCATTAGTAGGCACTTGCAGTATGCTGTCATTCAATGAATTATTACCCAGTAGGTACTGTCCACTGAATCCTGCTTGAGGTAACAGGATGTAGGAGTTAAGGCATCACTGCCTGGTACAGGCTATGACAACAGAGCAGTTGAAACCTGTTCTTACCTGTCACAGTGTGAAAACACTGGCTTCCCAGAAGACACTTCACTAGCATTCATATACTCCTTCACGAAGAGAATTCCTTTGCTGTAGAAGGAGCACAGCAGAATAAGGTGTGTACTAGAAGATTCTAGGAGACTGGGCCTGGCCCACAGAGGAGAATCAATGCCCGCAGCCCAGTGTGAAGGAAATGCAGAAGCTCATATGAAGGCCTAGGGTAGAGGGACTAGTGAGCTCACAAGCCAGGCTGCAAGGGAAGCTGCAGACAGTTGGCAGGATGCTGATGTTAGTGTACATGTGGACTAGCTCTTTCCACATAGTGCCTTCCCTGCGGTAGTCACCCACTACACTCCACACCCCATTATCAATCAGGTTCCAAGGGCCTATAAGTAACTTTAATCTATGCTTTGGAAAGCCTCTGCAAGCTTTAGAAACAAGGTCTGCTTCAGGCTGGCTCAGTGCAGCCCCACCCTTGACCCTCATTTCCATGTTCCAGTGCCCTGGCCTGATCGGCAGAAAACTTACACATACTTACTCAGCAGACTCCCTAGAATGGTATCCCTTCTTGTAGGCTAAAAGTATTCAACAGTACAGGTAAAGCAGTGAAAGAGAGGGGTGGGAGAGATTGGCCTGGTTTCCCTGGCTTTCATACAGATACTGAAGCCTGCCACTGGTTGTATCTGCTAGTTTCATATGTTCCACTTCAGCTTCTTGTTGAGATGAGAAGGAAAGCATGCTATAGGACCATGCCCAGTCCTGCCAATAGGCTTGAGGAATGTAAAATTTATACTTGAGGGACTAAGGACTATACTATATCTGCCCATTTGCTACTGGGATGCTAGGAGTTGAAGAAGACATCACAGAGAAAGCAACAGAGAAGGAAAGTGGCTCCCTTTACTTGCAAGGAGATTATAGAGAACTCCCATGCTCAAGGACACCAAAACTTGCTAGATGGTCCTTCTTACACAGTTGAGCTGGAGTCCACCTCACTTGAGACACTAGGAACACACAATTGAGACTGTTTGGAGGTGTCAGAGATCGTAACAGTGACCATACAGCTTGAAGGGCTTTTTTGCCTGAAAGAAATGGAGAAAAGAAGGAGCATGTCTCTACTTCTTGATTCAAATAGGCCTTTATGGCCTAACCCCAAAGTTTGCCACTTCAAGACCATTAAAAGCATGCCAGTATTTTGGGAACAGTAGATGTAAATCCTTTATTATTGTTCTTGTATGTTTCTCAGAGATCAGTGAATGGAACCTCTCTATATACAGAGGAGAAAATCCAGGTTTGATAAGGAGAGGGGACACAGCCCACTTCATAATGACTCATGGGTGAGACTCCATTTTCCAGTTTCTACTCTGAATTCTGGACTGCAGGCTAGGGCATTGGTGTTGGTAACTTGCCCATCAGGTTACTGGGAGTGTGGCAGCCAGGGTGGAGGAGCAGGGAAAAGCAGTCTAGTTTGTTAGTTAGGAAACCAGACAAAATAATCCTTTTGTAGGATTAACTTCCTTACCCTATATCAACCTCTGGAGAACTGCAGACCATGGAAACAGAGTAGTAAGGGCTCAGGGATTAATGAGGAGGCAGGTCAGATGCACCTCATTCTGAAAGATACCAATCACCTTGGCTACAGCACATGGCCCTGATCCTGATATTGGCTCCCTGGGTAGCTCATAAGTATGAAGACTGGAGTTTGGATCCCCAGAATATACATAAAAATCTAGGCAATGTGGCAGCCACCTATAATCCCAGCAGTGGGGAGGTAGACTCCAGTGAGGGGATCCCTGGGGGAAGGTGGCTAGCTTAGTGGCAGAAATTAGAAAGTTCCAGGTTCAGCAAGAGTCCCAGCCCCAATAAAAAGAAAATTATCAGACACTTGATGCCAATTTGGACTTACATACATGCACCCATGCCCACCATGTACCTATACATGCACATATACCCACCCAAAACATTAATAAGGTGGAGAACGATAAAAATACCTGAGCCCATCCTCTGGCCTCCACATACTTATACACAGGTAAGCATGCCTCATTCACACACACACACACACACACACACACACACACACACATACACAGACAGAGAGAGAGAGACAGAGAGAGAGAGAGAGACAGAGAGATAGAGAGAGACAGAGAGACAGAGAGAGACAGAGAGAGAGAACAGCAGCACTGAAGAGATAAAATTAAAAAAAAAAAAAGAAAACCCTTAGACCTGCAATGTAGGTAGCAAGAGGCCTCCAGTGTTTTTCATATCCAGTGGTAAGGAAACATCCTATTTCATTCCCAATGATCTCTTCTCCCTAAGCTACAAAAGCCCACTTTCTGTTCCCCTGTTCACCTTACTCCATTCCTGTCAACCACAGGGTCCATCTTATGGGATCTTCCTGTTTCCTTCTTTTTGTGTGGGTTCTTTCTTTCCAGCTGCTGCAGGTTTTCCTCATAAATAACACTTTGTCCGAATCCCTCTATGTTATATTACAAAATATTTTTTCTTGGCTTATACAATCAGAAAAACAATACACACAGTCTGCTGATGAACAGTACAGGCTCTAGGCTCTGATTGTATCCTCATTTCTGCTAAGACTCTTGGAACTGGTATATGGAAAGGCAGAGGTGAGAAGAAAACAGTGGGTCAAAATCAAGTCTACGGGCAGAAGAATAGCCAGAAAGCCCAAGAAATAAAGGAGTGCTGAAGTGAAAACATAAGGGTTCTTTAGAAAGTCAGTTATGTTGGAAGGTATTTTGTTGGGGCAAACATGTGAAGGAGTATTTTTTTTTAAATAGACACAGGTGAGAGACTAAGAGACTTGTAAGGGAACATTTAGCTGAAGCAGACATAAGAGAAAGGATTTTTTGTTAACCATACATATATATGTATTGGTCTGTCTTATATTGTGTACTTGAGCTATATTTTATTGGGATTCTATAGAGAGAAACATATTAACAAATTTGTGGTGGTGTGTTAGAGTTTTTTGTCACTTTTGTGGATTGAGCTGATTGACAAAATGTCAACTGAGACAGACACATGTGCAAGACCCATGCAGGACACTTGATGTTTAGAGGGCATATAAAAAGAACTTGACAGACAGTGACAGAGGCTGAGTTTGGCTTCTTTATAGAACTAGTTGTATAACATTTGTTGGTCTCATGTCTTTGTTGATTTTTTTTTTTAGAGAAACACAGTGAAGAAGTTTTCCTCGCATCTCTTTGGGTGTCTCTTCTTGACTGGAGCTGAGGCCTGGCTGTCTCTGTTCATTTGTACTTGTTATTTCAACTATATTGAATTAAATGGTTGGTGTATCTATAAGTGTTTTGTGAATGGATTGAGCTATTGTTATTAACCTATGAATTAAATTGTTGATTTTTAGACAATGATAGACAAAGAACTTTTAAAAATAGATCTATTTTTTAAAATATACTTTCTTTCCTACTACCTCTGGTGGATGGTGGGCTAAAAGAGAGGTTAAAGTATTTAAGAACCATCATTAGAGTAGGCCTTAAAAGATTAAAGTTACAAAGTACTGAGGATTGCTGATTTAATCCCAGACTCTAACGGATTTTATTTATAAATAAGAATTAACAGAATATTTTAGAATAGAGAAAAATCATACTATACTTTGGAAAAATATTATATAAGCAACCTTGGTGTGGACAGGCCCTGCTCTTCTGAGGCTAGGAGTCAGAAAGCTCGAACTGTGGGAGGACTGAATTGCTCACAGAAAAGTGGTGGGGGAAACACTACTTATTTCCTACTGCCTTACACCTTGGTCTTTTGGACTCTCAGAAAAATCTTATGACTCTTGTTTCCTCAAACTACTGCTGTCAGCCTATTTCCTCACACTCCTGGGTCAGCACCACAGAGGTGAATTATTGACTCACTGGCCCCTCTGGCCATCCTGGTGGTAGTAACAGTGAAAGAACTCATCTAACTGGCAGCTTTAGTTATGGCAATAATCTCATTCACACCAGGATCTACTTTTCTCAGACCTTACAACCCCGTATCCCTAACTCCAACCCACATTGTTTTTCTTGCTCCAATTGGTTGATGGATAACATGGTGCTCTTGTTCAAATAGATCTGATGCTAAGACTCCAAGAGACCACCTGCACTCAAATCCTTGTTTGTTCTGCTTCCTGCTGCTTTGTATCATCTCATATCTGCGAAGAGAAATAGGCTTGTGCTGTAAGTGCATGTGTTTGTCCTGGGTTGTGGTCCCTGACAGTTGGGCCAGGGGCAGTAAGAGGGTAGTGCAAGCCCTTACTTGTCGGTACAGTCCTCTACTTTGATTTGCTGCTCAGGTCCACTGGAGCTACTCTGTGGCTCTGGGATGCTGAGATCTGCAAGTTGTTGGGAAGCCACAGTTGAGTCACTTTGTCCAGATGTCTCCTGTAAGGCCTTGATCTTGGGGGCTGCATTTTTCTCCTCACAAGCATCTGCAGTGCTGAGAAAGAATGAATATTGTATATCATATACAGAGAAGAACAGAGGCCTTACCCTTGCTGATCTCTGGAATCTGAATGTTACTTCCCAAGGGCATTAGGAGAACCCATCTCAAGAGACAAGCAGCCCCCAACTCCCAGAAAGCAAGCAGTTTTGAAAAGGGTCCTAAGTTGAACCACCAAGAAATGAGAAGATAAAGAAAATAGGAGTGTTGGGATGAGGAATGGCCCTATTAGTAGGTGTGTCCCTGTTGGAGTAGGTGTGTCACTATGGGTGTGGGCTATAAAACCCTCATCCTCAGTCTTCCACTAGTAGCCTTCAGATGAAGATGTGGAACTCTCAGCTCCTCCTGCATCATGCCTGCCTGCATGCTGCCATGTTTCTGACTTAAAGATAATGGACTGAACCTCTGAATCTGTAAGCCAGCCCCAATTAAATGTTATATTTCATAAGATTTGCCTTGGTCATGGTGTTTGTTCACAGCAGTAAAGCCCTAAGACACTCACCCTATACTTTCCTTTGACAGGCCTCTGGTTTCCTCAATTTGGAATGTCATTCCCTGGGCCAAGCATATATAAACCATCACAATGAGTGTAGACTCAGAGTGACTACAGGGAAGAAAAGCTAACTGGTGCCCTTGCCAGGAAGCTTGAAAGGAAACTAAACAGTCACTTGCTCCCGAGCTGGTGACTGCAAACTATATCCTGAGGAGCCAAAGGGCCAGTGATGCTTTTCAACTAGGAGAGAAGTTCAAAAGACCATGACCAAGGCAAATCTTATGAAATATAACATTTAATTGGGGGAAATCCTCCTTAGCCTTCAAACCTAACTTCAATCTCACTCCCCTAGAAATCACAGGACTGATAAGTTTCTCCTGCATCTGTAGGCTGTTCTTGTAAAAATTTATTTAAAATTTTTTGTGTTGTGTTTCTTATTGTACCTGGTACACTGTGTTACATAAGGATAATTTAAAATAAGCATTTTGTATTTTGAACACATTTCCCCCATATACCTTGACTCTCATTTCATACACACTTCCAACTAATTCCCTTTGTTCCCCTGTCATTGATTTTATGTACTCTTTAAAATCTAGGGACCACAAATGAGAGCCTGGGCTTGAAAATCTTCCCATACTTCACAGTCACCTTTATTTATGGTCACAATATCCATCATTCACATACAGAGACACACACAAACCAACAGTCTTCACACTTTCCTTTCCTTTCTCAAGCATGGTCCTTCCTCGTCTTTTTCATTCCATTTCTCTCTTCTCCATAGTCTGTGTCACTCATACTCCCTGTCATACTTTGACACCACCACTGTATAAAAAAAAATAGTCTTCACCATCCCTAGAAGCCTACTCATGTACACTCTGGGAAACAGACTTCCCTTTTGCCTTATGCACCAGGAAACCAGACTTCTTATTTTGATCACAGCCCCATTCCAACTTCTCAAAGCCCAGGAAGCAGTCAACACCACCTTAGGACCAGGGTATCAACATTCTGAGCACATTCAGAGAACTCAGGCATTGGCCTGGAGTAAGAAAAGGAGTTCTCACCCATGTTGTGACCCTGGAAGAAACCTTGGTCATAGACAGCAGGAGGTCAGTGGAAGACCTTACCTGCTGGCACAAGCATCATGTTTGATGAGCTGATTGGGTACACTGGGGCTGCTCTGCAGGTCTGGGATGCTGGGATCTGCAGAATGTTGAGCTGCTGTAAGTACATCTCCTTGGCCACGTCTCATATCAGCAGACATCTCTTGCCCGGCTTCGATGGTCTTGGGGGCCACATTCACCTTACAATCAGCTGAGGGGCTGAAGAACAAGTATCATATAGAAAGAAGCCCAAGGCACTGGCTCTTGCTATCCCACTGTACTCTGACATAAACAGCTCAACTCAAGCTACATCTGAAGCCATCAAGGAAGGTACATCTTCCTCAGTTTGTCTGCAATGTACTCTCAAATGTGGGGGCCACAAGACAGTAGATGGTGTTGAACACCTCTCTCATCATCATTCCTGTCTCTTTGTTCCACCAGCTTAGAACCTTCCTGCAGTGCTCTGGGAACTACTAAGCTAAGGACAGAATAAGAACACATTATCAATGACTCCCACTTCTGGAACTCACATATGGAAGTTAAGGCCATAGCAGGGAGGCTCTAAGCTGGCAGAAGAAAGAGAATGTGTGATGGGCTTCTCAGGGACTATGTTGTAAAACTAATTGACATTTTCAGTCTCAGGTAAGGGAAAACTAAAACTCCTCTGCAGTGGAAAGAAACCAATTGTCACCTCCAGCTGTACTAGGAAGAAGTAGTGCTCAGTGAACAGAGACAAGATTCTCCAGAAAGAGCAGTTTGGAGATAGAGAAATATGGGGAAATCCTAGGCCTTGAAGCAGGGCAACTGCTATTTCAGGAATTGTAATCTTTATAGGTCATGAAAAAAATACATTTGGTCAAACACTCACAGGATGCCTTTCTATGCAATATAACATGCTGAAGGGGGTATCTTATTTTCCTGACATTTGGCTTCAGCTACTGCTAAACTGGAATGAGTAGAGAGAGGAAGGCCTATTGGATGGAGATTTGTTATATTTTCTGAAGCCTTCACAGACTCTGGTAGCTTAAGACAGTCAGTGCCAATTTTTGACCTTACTACATACTGCACAGAAGGCAATGCCACTTTCTACGCAATGTAATCTGCTGCCTGACCACAGTTGCCAGCAGTGAGAACATGTCTAAAACTTACCTTCTTGTGTCAAATACAAACTAGAAAAAACCCACACTTGCAACACAACAAAGAGGAAAACAATCTATGTCTTAGATTTAACATGTGATAACAAAATTTCAAAGGAAAAAGGCAAGACTATGCTATCAAATGACTGAATAAACAACAAAAAATGGCAGTGGGGAACTTTATTTATCTTGAAGGTTTTATAGTTACTATTTGATAATATTTTGTACCCCTCCCCCCCGCAGTGTCCTGCGTGTTTTACATATATAAACCCATTTAACTCTTTAAATTTTCTATGGTAGAAACTATTTCCATTATTGTTCACGTAAAAGCTGAATAATATGCCAAAGGTCCCATAAAGTTACCTTAGGCTTAAATTCAAGCTCAAGAATCCCTGCATCTAGTCCACTATGAATATTGGGTAAAACCCCTACAGCTTCTGACAAATTTGTCACCTGGGCCTGTCCTCAAGCCCCTCAATCAGTCTGTTTATCAAACGGAAAGGGGACTGTGAATTCACAGCCAAGGAGGAGGTCAGTCGTGGGTGGAGGGCCAGTTAGCCCTTGGGGTCCAGGTGGGTACCGCAGCAGTCACTGCAGACTGTCCTTAAGTTTGGTCACTCCTAAGTAGGCTACTGTAGCCAACCGTCCTCTGAGATTGCTAGTGGGGAGGATGGGTAACAGGAGCACACTAGGGCAAGAAGGACCATTTGTGATCCTCTAGCGCCATCTCGTGGCTGGAGCTAGTACTGCCTCAGGAAGTGTACCTTAGAAGCCAGTCACTGGAGCAGCCATTTTGTACTCTTTTCATAGAGGGCACCTCAGCCTGAGCTAAGGGCTGCAGGAAATGGCCGCGCGAGTAGGCGTATTCTTACCCTGAAGCCGGCCACCTTATTCATGCGTATGCACTCACTCGCAAGCGGCGAACCAAATCTGCCTGCGCAACTGATATTTGCTTTAGTTGCGGGTGTGTGCATTCTGTATTCGTGGTGCCTGTCTGTGGCAGTCTGACTGGACCTATGTTCACACACTCCTCAGTGTGTGTGTGTGTGTGTGTGTGTGTGTGTGTGTGTTCCCCCAAACTGAACATAAGTGCTAGAGGAGTGCTTGTCAACCTAATATTAACGTTTTTGGCTGGATAATGGTACTGTGTATTGAGAAGAATAAGGCATTATTATCACACACATTTTGGGTCATTTAGCAGCTTCCATGATTCTTATTCTTTAAAACCAAGCCTCGGTTGTGGCAACCCAAAAAATGTTCAGTTACTACTGTATGATACAGGAGGGTAGGGGTGGGCAGGATAAATCTCTGATCAAGAACTGCCATCTCCAATGTATATTGGAGAAGAGAGGAAATTGGAATGCTTAATAAAAATGCTGGAGACATACCCTCAGGAAATTAAACAAAAATCTCAATGAATGTTTTGTTATTAATACTTCCCCAGGCAAGAGGCTGGAAAGATGGTTCAGCAGTTAAGGGCACTGTCTACTCTATAGAAATCTTAAGTTTTATTCCAAGCACCCACATACAGCTAAAAATAGTCTCTAACTTGCCTCTGAAGATCCATTGTCCTCTACTGACACTGCCAATGGGTGCTGTTGCAAACACACACGTGCAGGCAAAACACTAATACACATAAAAAAATTTAAAATTTAAATGTGAAAAATCCAAACACAGCCAGTTATTAAACAGTGTCATCAGAAATGTTTGCATTGATTTTTTTCAAGCTGGTAAATATTAGCAGAATGTTACTGTCTGGACCTGGGCTCTGCAGTTGGGCAGATTTAGAGTTTATTCCTAGTTGCTCATCACACATGTGAAGCCAAGTTTTCTCCCCTATCAAATCCCACAATTAGAAATCTTTCTTGGCTTGGGGAATGATCATAATAATAATCACGATAATACCAGATCAGTACACCAGCTGGAAGGTGACATTAAGCTTCAAACATATCTCATCAACTAGTTTGCTGAAGTTTCTCTGAAGGCTTCTCTTTGAGGCTGTTCATTAGGACTCAGTTGCCACAGGTATGTGTTTGGATAAGTCACTTAACCTGTTTGTTTCCCCATTTACCCATCTCACAGGGCTATTGAGACAACTATAAAGGACATAGAGACAACATACTGTAAGTATCATCAGCTAATATTTTCATTCAGTGCTAATCGTTAGTAAAATTTAAAAGAAAAAAGTGGTGCATAACAAGGCCTGTAGCTTAAAGATCCACTTTCCACATCACTTCCCAGCATATGATTTAAAGTAAAAAGGTGACTGCAGTGTGATGTTAAAATTCAAATATCTATTAATCTTTAAGTCCACAAACCACAGCAGTTCTTCTTTGGATTAAAACCTGATAAAGTTTCATTCATGGAACAAGGCCCTGATCTCCAGTCCCCTCACTCATTAGTCTCCAGCTACTCTAGGCTGAGAAGAGACCCTGTCTCACAAAACAAGATGTGTGGTGCCTAAGGAAGACACTAGAAGTTGATCTCTGATGTTGACACCCATGTGGACACACACACACACACACACACACACGAGCATGCACATGTGCACATACATACAGACATGCATACACATGTACATATATATATATATATATATATATATATGATATCAAACTAGTATAAATAACTGTGACAGACTGCACTAAATCCTACAAATCATTTTTCAAATGAGTTTGAGGTTTAGCTTCACTGTAAAACAAATGGATTTGTTTTATGAGGGTATGTAAGCAGGAAGGATGATTACAATGAATAGTCAAAGAGAAAGCCACTGGAGCCAGAGTAGATCATATGTCTTCTACAGTAGCCAACAGCACTCTGAAACAGTTTGTACCATTGTGGTACAGGAAAAAGTAAAGGCTGGAATAGGGAGTCCCCACTGTCACAAAGAACAATGGGAGCTAGAGACAGGTTTGGACTTAATTTCAAGGAAGTAAGGAGCCATTGGGAAGTTGAAAGAGGGGGATAAACACATCGTGGTTTATTTGGGGAAGATGGTTCTGATGCCTGCACAGATAGCAAAAAGATACATTAGTGGCAACTCAAAGAATTGAGTCCCTTGGCTGGGCGGTGGTGGCGTACACCTTTAATCCTAGCACTTGGGAGGCAGAGGCAAGCGGATTTCTGAGTTCAAGGCCAGCCTGGTCTACAGAGTGAGTTCCAGGACAGCCAAGGCCATACAGAGAAACCCTGTCTCAAAAAAACAAAACAACAACAACAAAAAAAAAAGAAGAAGAAGAAAAGAATTGAGTCCCTGGCCTAATGGCCTTAGATTACAGAGGTGGAGCTTCAGGCACCCACTGCAACTAGGTAAATTTGTGAGAAAATGAACCTGCTGAGAAGCCAGTTGGGAAAGCAGCCAGAAGAGTGTCCTCAAAGGAGTCACATGGGTAGACTTCAGGAGGTCATGAGGATGGGCCAGCCTTTCAGAAGTTTTAGCTCTCTTCATACCAACAATAAGGTTGCTAGCACAGTTTAGCACTGTACTATTATTTGTGCCAACATCTGCCTAACTAGTCTTTGCCTCCAGGGATGACTCCATTTTAGTTTGGAACCATGTTGCTTACTTCTCTTTTTCCAGTAATGGGGCAATCAAAAAGGTGACAATTGTACCTATCCTAACATGGTTCCAAACTAAAACAGAGTCATCCCTGGAGACAAAGGCTAGTTAGGCAGATAAATATGTGAGGAAGGCAGAGTTTGCAAGAAGGCAGTGATTCCTCTATTATTAGGTCATTTGTTAGTTCTTTTTTTCTGCCTTCTCCACACATTCATTGTACCCAAGGCCAGTCCTTGCTGAGGGATGGGCCAATAGCTATGAGTTAGGGGCTTGTATTTGCTCTGCAGGAATTTGAGAATCAATGATGGAGGTGTGAGACTGGCTAGACTGGAAAAGAAGAAAATCCAAAATGAAGTAAAACATCAACAGGCAAAGGATGTGGTGTTGGTGACATCTGTTTCAGCACTTTGATCATTCGACATTCTGTAATTTAGATGACCTGGGAGCAGAAATCTTTGCCTCTCTAAATTGCTCTGATCAGAGCCAGTCCAAACCCCTGTGGACTCTAGGCAAACATTTCTATTCAGATTTAATGGCTTACAAACAAGAATAGAAACAACATGTGAAAACTCAGAGGGAGGTAGCCACATTGATGCTCAAGGGTCAGTAGAGCAAGACACAAGGAATTCTGGGCTGCTAGTAAGCCGGGAAGGGAAGACAAAACCTTTCCCATTCATCCAAGCTCTCCTTTCCTCAATCTCAGGGATCACTCCACACTGGGGAGGGGGGTCTAGGGGTCCCCAATGACACCATAGTGGGGGCTCAAGGACTTTGAGAGGGATAGCCTGGTCTGGAGTTGGTGTGCCTCTGGGGAAATATTATAGAATTGCTCTTTATAGACCCAGCCTCTCTCTCTATTGCTCAGTACTTCCTCTGCAGATATGCAGCAGTAGTATAGTGCTGGTTTGTATGTCACTTGCTAACACTGGACTCTGCAGAGGTAAGAAATGACTTTACTCCTCCACTCACACTCTGATGGAGGCAGTTACCTCATCCTTAAATGTCAGATGCCTTGAAGGAGCTGAAAACGTACTAATGATGAACTGACCAAGTCACAAATCGTCATTATTAGGCACCTGTGTTGACTAGGGGCCAGACTCTGTTCTTCCAACTTTCCACACATTAATTCATCAACTTCAATATCATTATCCTGTTTTTTCAGATGAGCCATCTGATGCTCAGAAGGCCTGAGTGGTGTGTTCCAAGTTTCACAAGTAACAAGAACTGTAACTCAGCTTTCTTCTGAGTTCTTGTTGTAACCTCTCAGTCAATTCTGAGATCATCAGAAGCCCCGTGTTACCAACTCCAGAAGTCAGTAAGTATCAACACTATTTTGGGTCACCAGTGGGTCTCTCCCTCAGACTTACCACCTCTCTTCCCTCAATCCTGTGACACCTTCTGTTTTCTTGGCCACATGTTTCTGGTCTCCTTCTACCTTTTCCCCCTTGTCTGTCCTTGAAATGTATTCTTCCTGGTCTGTATAGCCTGATAGGCTACTCACTGTCCTTTCATGCTATCAACTTAATGTCCCCAGGTAGATGAGTGGAAGGCAGCATGGGGAGTGGGACAGTAAGATAGGTGACAGAGAGTTAGAAGATTGATGATAGAGCTGGCCTGTCTCCTGCCTGCCCACGCCAAGGAAAAGGAGCTTGGATCTTTGTGCTCCTTGATGGATGCAGCCCCTTCATCTATTCTTATTTGAAGCACAGGACACTGTCACATTGTGAACTGTAAAGGCAGACCCAAGAACCCCACCCAGTTCCTAATGCCTTCTCCTATAAGCAACATAATTAAAACTCTGGTTTTAATAAAGAGTTACACAGACACAGTGTTCCCACCCAGCTCTGCTGACCAGTCCTGTCACTTTCTGAGGGAACTGAGGTACATGGCATGGTAAGCATTACAAGCTGATCTCATTCATATTAGCATCTATCTGTCTCCTTCATCAGACGAAGTCAATAGCTCTGGCCCAGGAACTCCCAATCACCACTAAATCACAAGGCCAGGTCTTTGTCCTCACAAAATTACATTGCATAATTACTCATTACATAACTATTTTAAATGTATATCAAGACAGTGATGGAGAACCCAGGTTTGCCACACCTCCTACAAACTAGTCATCCCCATAGTGGTAGAGCCACTCTCCTTCTTCTCTCTCATCTTGAGAAAGGTATAAAGAGAAACAGGACAGCAATAGGGTCTCAGTACCTCAGGACTTCCAGATCTGGAGCCACCAGGTGGAGTCCTGCTCTGGGGGTTGTGATCTGCAGATGGACAATCTTCTCAGTTGTTAAGCTGTAGGCCAAAGGAGAGACTGGAGAATGTGTGGGAGAGATGCTTCTCCTTCCCCTCTGTGTCAGCATCCATGGGTATTCTTCTTCCATGGATGGATATCACCAATCTCCCACCCAGAAATGACTCTAGGCTACCCTCAGACAATGAAGGAGCTTCTAGGTGGGCATTCTAGCAGATGTGCCTGGTAAGGGGAAGCTGCAAGATGGTCTTGAAGTGGAGGTAAGGGGTTTGACATGGTCAGTCTGACATTTTAGAAATGTCACTGGGGTAGCAGCCAGAAAGTAACAGCACTTCACTGTTACCCTACTCCTAGACCTTCCCTGGTTGCCAAACCCAGCCATCCAGGCCAGTGAGAAGCCATATTACTAGCTCATAGTCTAAAGCTGGTTCTTGACATGTATCTGTGTTCCTGGCTTCCAGAGGCGCTAGGCATATTTGGCATGCACTCAATTAGAATCTCCTGAGATATTTGGGTCCTACCTCCATCCATACTGGCAAAGAAGGCAGATGTGAGAAGTGCTGGAGACAATAGGTGTGTCTCCTAGGTAGGGTGAACTTACCACATTTCCTGGTCTCAGAGGGGCACTGCCATTGGATTCAGGGCCTATCCTAATTTAGCATAACCTCATCTTCCCCTGTTTGCATCTCTACAGAAGTTGACCTGTATCCAATAAGACCCTCACCTCCCTCAACTAGTCTCCTGACATAGGACTTATTCTGCCTTTCACCCCTTTTTGCCAACTTATAGAAGTGCTAGGTGCAAGCTTAACAATGGGATGCTACTGCTGCAGTGGCCAGTCTCTCATAGCCCAAGGTGAGTGACTGATTACCTGCTTAAGTCAGGATTGGGTCTTGCCAGAGCAGATGGTTCCTGTTTTTTCTCAGGAAGCACGTCCTCATCTACCACATCAACCCTGTGGGTAAAAAAGTGGCACTTGTGGTCTTCTCAGCTACCTTGGTGCTTTCTGGCCTTTGAAGGATATACTTTCACCAGTGTCCAGAAGAGTCCGGTGACTAAAGCCATGGCCACTCCAGCTCAGAAGGATATCACCATTGGAATATTCCCTGGAACTCATGAGTCTGACTTCATTTAGAAATATGCTCTCAAGAGATGCAAAGAGGGTAAGCTGTAGGTAGAAAGTCAACAAGAAGCCAGCATTCCAAATGTTCCAAGCCCAAGGCCTAGCCAATGCAAAGGCCCAGAAGTGAGCATACAGTACTGTGTTGAATGACAGTAGCTGACTAAAATACAATCAGCAGTGGGGGGAAAATGGGTGTTGGCAGCATCCCCCGCCCCATAGACAAAATAACAAAGAATAGTGTGTTCTTAGCTGCGACTACTAAAGCAAAGTACCACCAACTAAATGTCTTAAAAACCCCAGAAGTGGAGGTCAGAAATCTGAAATTGAGGTGTTGCCAGGGTTGGGACAAATTGTATTTGTCTCACTCCAGTTTAGGCCACTGTCTTCATTAACTTTTGTGTCTGTGTCCACATTTCCTGGTCTCAGAGGGGCACTGCCATTGGATTCAGGGCCT